GAACTAGAAATAGAAAAATATTCTTTCTTTTCTTTGCACTCAATCATACCTTCTTCCATAAGGTTCGCGACCGCACGCGTGTAGTGGTATAAATACGAATGATGTACGATAGATGAAAGATGTTCTAGATAGAGCACATCGAGCTGAGGAAGAGTATGTATTTTGAAAGTTTTGGAAAAATCGTTTTGTGCTCAAAACATTTAAAAAGCTTTGGAGGTGTAAAGTTCGAATAAACGTCAACTTTCCAAAAAAGTTCAAATTTTTGACTACTGATTTGAATTCGAAGATTTCAAACTACGTTTTTTTTATTCATAGCATAAAACTGAGTTTAGGAACCTTTTTTAGAAATTCATGAAACACTTTTTCACACACTAGAAAAAGGCTAAAATATGTAATTCCGTTACAACATCTATTTTGCTTATAAAAGCCATTCTAGCGAACCGACTCATTCCGAATTTTTATCACAAACCAAGCACCTTATCCAAGGGGGAAAAGGCGGCTCCGGGAGCTTTCCGGAGCCGCTGAAATGCTTTCCGTAGCTTGAGATGCTATACGATGCTTTGTGATGCTATACGGAGCTTTCCAATGCTCTCCGATGTTATGCGGAGCTCTCAACCAAGTTTTTGAAGACTGAATGAGAGTAGTGTTATAAACCCTGTAACTCGGTTGTCGAGTATCGTAGAAATTTGGGTGACATCTCATTTTGCAGAGAATTGAAAGGGCTATCCAATGGAGTGGTTGAAAAACTTTCGGAATGAACTTTAAGGTTGTTGGGTTTTCTAGAAACCCCGGCTGGTTTTTCAGAAATCTTTTTCTTAAGATCCAGAGGCCTAGCGTAATTTTTCCTGATTGCAATATAATACTGAATATGTCATTGATTTTGATTAAAAACGTAAAGAAAATGATAAAAAGTTCAAAAACTCTGCAAAAAATGATGATATCTGGAACTACATTGTCTAAAGTATCTTAAAGTGATCATTCAAGAAAATTCAAAATAAGCCTATCTGATAGAACTTTGTGCGCACTACTTATTGTACTGGTCGACAGAAGTTTTTTTGTTTTTCATTATCGAGAAAAAGAATAGTCAATACAGGCGTAAAGATCAGGCATAAAGTCAACATAGGCACGAGATTTTGGAAAAAAGCTGAAAAGATCCCGTAAAAATTACAGAATGGATCCCATATACTAAAATTTCGATAAAAGTAGTAGAAATGATCCCGGTTTTAGAAAAAAAATATTTTTGACAGAATTGATCCCGGAAAACGTTTTTCTTTCTGTGAACGACAGAATTGATTCCGGTTGATGTGGGCTACAAATGTAAAGATGGTGTTGAGACATAAACAATAGCAATGTGTAGCGGTCACATCTTTTTTCATACTTTTTTCACTCACATCACTTTTGACTATTACTATTAGTATTGAACAAACTATGGCTCGCAAGATATGGCTATTAGTGTTTACGTGTGCAAACGAAACTGATTTATTAAGTTTTATCAAAACTCAAGATGTCTGCAAAAATCAAACTGGAATCAAAGAGATTTAGAAAAGAAAGCTTTCGCATGGTTACAGAAAGTTGATAAATCGCAAATAACTCCAATTGATTATGGTATGTTTGTTGTTCCTGCGAAAGAGCCAAAGATAAATGTTCAACAATGGATCGTGATGTTCAATCAAATGAATTGGACAACGTATGACGATTTAAAGGACTGGCTAACGAGTAAGATCAGCACGATTATTAAATTGTACACGTTTATTGCCACCATGGTTCTGTACATATAAATCCGGAATGGAAGAATGCGCTTGTGTTCATGCCATTGGTACCTATTCTCAAACACAACAAAAAGAACATTGTCCCACTCGTTTTATTCGATTTCTTATGTTGTTGACGAAGGTGAGCAAGGACAAACGTATGTTGGCATTTGTGATACACAGTTCATGAAACTCGGACTAACGGGCAAAAGTATCCTTGTTGCATCATCGAGCTTATCCTAACATTAGCTTAATTGCACATGACTATATAACAAAATTTAATGGAAACTTCGATGTTTTTGTGGATGGATGGTAAGTGTAAGTGGTTAGAGTTATAAGATATCGTATTCTTAACTTTTTAGGCACATCTGTCAGCAGTCCTGCGGCGGCCGGCATGTTTAGTCTAATCAATGATCGTCGATTGAACCAAGGAACGAAGCCATTAGGCTTTCTAAATCCACTATTGTACGGTCTGGCAGACCAATATCCAGATGCATTTTTCGACATAACCAAAGGAAAAAATAACTGCAATTAATCACCAAAATGTTGTAAATAGGGCAACAGTCTGGCCAAAACGTTTGACGTGGTACCGGTATAGGGTCCATTAATCACGATGCCCTCATGAAATTACTTATCCAAAAGAATTAGTCGAATTGATTAAAGATGAACTATTTATTTTAGTTATCTATTTTCTTCTGTTAATCTATTTCTAAGATAAAATGACCCGATTTAAATTATTTCCGAATGGACGAAAATATCGAGTAAGTGCCCCGCATTAGCCGAGATTATGCCACCCATCCTAGAAGGCTAGAATGACTGTGAAGCTTCTGGTTTTTGAGCGTATAGCGAGAGCTTTTATTCTTGTTTCTGCAATGCATTCAAATGAAATCCAGATCGAAAACCATATTTTTCTCTTAATTTTCAAAAAAGCACAAATGTCGATCTGTTGTAACAGTTAAACATTGGTATAGTCAAGACTAAATTGGTGCATGAATCGTTTCAAACCTCTACTTTTCTTCTTCATTGGAAAAATGGCATCGTTAACCCTTTATATAAAAATGAAGATAAACTAGCAAGGTCGAACTATCGTCCTAT